TTGATGGGAGAAAAAAGACCATCACAGATAAATTAATAGATAATATTAGAAATATATTTTTTGGTGATGTTTCCCATATTGATGATTTTGGAACATTTTTTAAAGAAGTTCAAATAGAAGAAATCGAAGGTGAGACCAAAGAAAAAATAATTAAAGTCAGTAAACCGAAATATACAAAAAAAAATTTCGCTTTAAGACCTTTAGTCAAATGGAATAGATTTGGTCAAACAACCAATGATAAAAAAGCTTCTAAAGCTCCTAGAATGAAATTGAGAGGGATATATTCAGAATTTGGTTTTAGAATCATGTTGAACGCAACTAGTAAAGATTACAGTGACTTTAAAGTTTACAAACCACCAGGACCTTTTATCGTAACTTTAACATTCTTGGCTTGTAAAGATGGTGAATTTTGAAAAATAAGGATATTGGTAAAATGTATGATTTTTTTAAACCCGGTGTTACAAGATTTGATAATACAGATAATGATATACAGAGTAGAATAAATGATAAATAGGAAGTTAAAAACTCTGTAGATAGACCAATCAATATCAACGCAAAGACCAAAGAAGTTCAGAATTTCTGTGTATGTGAACTGTATGAATATACTTTTAAAATACCAATGTATATGGCCCATGATGGGTCACAAGAACCTAAAAAAGATTCTGGAATGCCATTTTGCTTACCTGAAAAACCCACATCAGATAGAATCCTTTCTTTTGGTTGCGATAAACAAAAAGGTGGATTTAGTTTGAATATCGCTTGGATAGTAACGATAACTGTAGATCCTTCAGCCTTACAAGAAAAAATTGAAAATACACTCTTGGCTAACACGACTACAAACAAAGATGAACCTATCGATCTAGAAGATGCATTATTTTTTGAAATAGAACAAAGTAAAACTGTTTTTTTACCAGGATTATTGAATATGGTATTGCTTTATTTGGATATAATACAGATATGGATAACCTACAAAATCTCAGATTAACTGGTGGTACTGCATTACAACAACTTATCAATGCTATAAAAGCAAATAACCCTATTCTTTCTCAACCTAATAAATCTGTTCCAACACCCACACCAACCGAAATAATAATTTAAAATGAATATTTTATTTAGCTATAACACAATTTACGAATATTATACAAGCAAGATCAAAGAAAAAGAAAAGCTTGTAGATTTGAAACCAGGTAGCCATTTTTATAATTTGATACACAAGGATATACGTTTAAACAAGTATATGGTCTCAGATTTGGATGAGGAAATTCGTGTTTGTGGATCAATATTAATTCAAAAATTTAAAGAGAAAATTTATAATGAAAAAGATTATAATCAGGTCTTGAAATATATTGACGCGTTAAAAAATGTTGATAATTTTTTTATCAAAGATGAAGAAAGCTA